ATCCGTTAACACAAGTACATACTCTCTCCCAACTAACCCCCGATACAGGAAAAATTCTCTGAAACATACATACGTTTCCCACTACAAAACTTTAATGAGTCATTACAAAATTTATGGAAGTCATTAGCCTTCCGCCTTCATCTACAGAATAAGCACATTATATAATACTAAAATAAAGTCAGTACACTCACTACAAACTCCCTTAATCAGGTCCAGGCGGGAAAGAAAGGACACAGTATACCAAACAGACCTTAAAGAAGAATATCATAGCATGCAACTCCATCACACAATACATAAATACACAACAAAAAAAAATTAACCTCTAATTGCGATACCAATATCGCACATGAAACATGCACAATAAAGGCTGTATATGTACATTCTACATAGACCCAAAAAGCTCCTGCAAGGTCTTACACCTATAATCTTAACACCATTCACACTTAATATATTAAGAAGGTCATGACGACCCTGACACATCAATCACAGAATTCTCCATACGTTACTACATAATTACTTGACTTCATCACCTTTGCTGTCTGTACCCACATGCATGCTACATACACTTATGCCACACATCTACACCTTCTATACCCACATACACCTCACTCTCAACCCCCCCCAGGAGGCGACCCCGCCGGGACCCCCTGACTTTCCTCTTCTTATATGTAATCCCCAAACCCCCACCCCTTACTCACTCAGCCCAAGTTGCAGATTCATGAGAAACCCTACCGTTAACATTCTATAACCTTCCGAAAAATCCTGCGTCCACCTCCTCCCATACAGTTCCCTGTTACGACACATCGTATGATAAAACGTAACCGCAAGTACCCGCCTCCGCAACTCACAAACCCCCCTCCCCCTCATCACCCACGATATATATATATAAAACACCATTATATAATCCAAAGCTCTTGTGACACTCGTCAAACCTTCCCACATCTAGGCTTAGTGCACGCAGAACCGACACCCCTCGGCCCCCCACCCTCTGTACAACCCTACTTAACCAATCCTAACAACCTCCAGCTCCTCACAAAAATATACTGCATGGAACGCTGTCTCAAAATCCCCACAGATTCCGCACCTCCCACCCAAAATTACCCTTCTGGTTCTTAGTACCTCTCCCGAGGGTAGTATGCCATGCAGAAAACGATACGTTATCTCCCGCACCCTAGGATTTAACTTAAGCTTGTTAAACCTATACCAAATACTCCTCCATGCATACATGGGGAACAATCCCTCAACTGGTACAACAATCCTCCCTGCAAGCAACCTACACAAAACCCCTGTTCGAATTTTCCTCGGTTCTCTAACCAACATCAAAGCCCTCAAAACATTTTCACATTCCCTCATTTCCATACCACCATACAACTTACCCAACCTATCATGTACTTTTTTTCAGCTCCCCCCCTCACTCCCTCGTGCAAAACCTCCCATTTAATAAGCACACATTTAAACCTCAGATCCATCAACCCCAACCCACCCTGGTGCACAGGTAACATTACAACCTCCCTCCTCAGCCAATCGCAACTCGGACCCCACAAAAATTTAAACACCCGTCTCTGAATCCCCACAGTCACCGTCCCTGTTATTGGGAACATGGCTGCTACATGCCAAACCTTACTATACAATAGTACATTTATTACAATCGCTCTTTGCACGAGGGTCAGATGCTGAGGTCTCAATGCACCCAGAAGCCCCAGGATCCTTTCTAACAACCTATTTGAGTTTTCCTCTCGAGCAGCGTTCAAGTCATCCCTATAGATGATACCACAAATTTTTAAAGACACCGTTTGTTTCCTCACAACGCTACATCTCCCCCCCCCCTCTACCCAATCACCCAACCCCATGACCATTGACTTCTCACTATTTACCTGCATCCCTGTTGCACTTCCAAACAATTGCACAATAACATCCAAAACCCCCAATGCCATCCCTTCCCAAACCAGGACTGTTGTGCCATCTACATATCCAATTATTCCAGGCCACACTTTCCCTACCTCATCCCCACCCCGACTCTTGTTACATACACTACGTTCAACCATTCTATAGAAGGGGTCCTGAATGCATGCAAACAATATTTGTGACATGGGACAGCCCTGCCTAAGTCCCCTACCCATGACAATCTCCTCGCCCAACCATCCATTAATCTGTACCCTCATCTTAGCTCCTGTGTACAACGTGGTTACCCAATTAACTATTTCTTCCCCATAACCCTGTCTCCTAAGTATAGCTCCCAATGCTCCCCTTTCCACTGTCTCATAGCCCCCCTGCCAGTCTAAAGCCAACAACGCCGCCCCCCACCCCCCCTTTTGACTCCACAAAACTTCTCAGTATCCCATGACCTTCAATCATCGACCTTCCAGGCAATTCATACTGCATTTTCGAAACCACTCTCCCTACCACACATTTAAACCGATTACCCAAGACTTTAGCAAACAACTTATAGTCTGCACATAACAACGATATGGCATGGTACTCCTTGAGGGTGTGCTGGCCCTTACCCTTCGGGACCAACACTACAACTGCTGTTGCTTGTTTGTCCCCCATCACACCCTTCTCCTTCATCTGATTTAATAACCTAACCATGAAACCCCTTATTACTTCCCAATGTTGTAGATAAAATTCAGCGGGGGGACCGTCTATTCCCAGTGCTTTGCCCTTACTCATTCCCTTTAAAGCCAGCTCTATTTCCTCTTCCATTATTACCCCTCCTAAAGCCTTCCTATCACTATTCCCTAAATTACATGTCACATACTCACTCACCTTCTCTAAAGCCACATCCCCCACCCCCCCACTTGTCCAATACCTTTCATACCATTTATCCGCATACGCACACATTCCTTTCGTAGCCCGTATCTCCTGACCTACCCTATAACCTCCCGCCATCTCATGTACCTCTAACCTTGGAATGGCCGTAACCTGCTGCCTTTGCTTTTGACGACACAACATACACGCCGATGGCTTGTCTCCCCAAAGCACCTCCTCTACCCCTGCCTGCACCCTTACCACCTGAAACCTCTCGTTTTGCAACTCCCTCAGTCTCCCCTTGACCTCGTCAATTTCATCCATAGGATAGTTGCCCCCCCACAGCCCCCTGCCCATAACAACCCTTTAACCTGTCCTCTAAATAATTTGAAAGTCCATGTTTTAAATTATTTATACGTTTACCCTCCCTCACATAATATTTCCTAATCCTTTCCTTGGTTACACTTGTTTAAATGATTCCAGTGACACCTCTGCCACACTGTCACTCCCGTCATCCGGGTAGTTCACCAGTCGTTGACACACCTCAGCTGTCAACTCGTCATCCACCACCTTCCCAGGTGCGGCCGCCTCCTCAGGTGGTGACAAAGACTTCAGCACCTCATCTAATTCCTCCTCAATTTCCAACACTTCCTCCTGTACTTTCCGCTCGTCACTAGCCTCTGAAAGCGTCTCTGGGCCAGTTAACTGGTCGAGGGCCTCACCCTCCCCCCCAGCCTTATGCGCCTCATCCACTATCTTGCTCCATAGACGACCACGCCCTCCTTCGCATCACTGATCCCCACCTGCTTCCTCTGTTGTAGCAGCGGAAGCCTCTGCCTCTGGGCCAGGAGCTCGTTGCCGCTATGTGATCATATTCCCCACATAGTCTGCATGTACATCTTCGCCCGGCATACAAAACCATGACCTGTGTCCTGAATTCCTGAAGGTACACGTAGGACGGTATGGGATGTCATAATGTAATTTTTAGGTTAAAAGAGCCTTTCGGCAGACCTTCATAGGTACCCGTCACCCACGTACCATGCTGGGCCAAATGAACAGTACCATATTTCTCAAAAACTCTTCTGATGTCTGTCTCATCAGCCTCAAAGGGGACATTACATAGTTTAATCCATGTGTAATGCCTGGATATGTCGATCATCCTCACACAAACAGCTGGTGTTGCATCAAGACTTACGTCCTGAAAACGGGTGACCAACGATTCATAGACATTTGGTGTGAGCACTTTCACAAAAATTCTATGTGCTCTATTTAAGGCTACCCCATATAACTCTCCATCCTGAATTCCATACGTCTCTCTGATGATCTTAGGTAGTAATACCTGCGCTGAAACTGTCGTTATTGCCCCTTGGATAAGCTCTATGCCAACAGTATTGATCCTGCATCTATGAAAGCCATGTTGACTAATAGTAGTTCTTCTGGTTTGACAGCAGAGGCGTGACAGCACCACCCAACACCACTGCAGCCAGGCAACTGAGGAGCGCCTGCGCAGTAGGTCCACTCCGCCCGGAAGCGAAGAGGACAATAATAAATATCATAATCTATATTCCTTTCTCTGTGTGTGGAATCTAGTTTCCATGAGTGTTTCCAGTCACACTCGTTTACTGTTATTATACTCAGAGGAAGTGCCAAGCACCTAACGGTCATGCTGTACCTGACTCACACGCTACTGCTTACATAATGGCTTCAAATTCCCTGATTGCGTGCAATATGCAACTGTTTTTTATGACAACATAATCCAAAGATGCCTGCAGTAATGGGCCAATATTTTCACAGCCTTATTATGGCCTTCCTGTTATCATTCACATCTCTGCCATAATGGAGAACCTTTTCGTGTGGCGTTTTTGATCTGCCAGCAGCCTCGGCCGTTTTGTTTTATTTTGGACTTTTAACAGTGACATGTACCTGTTGGGACTTCGGAGAAATTTTAGATCTCTTTTTTTAATGTTAACCGTTTGATATGCTTATATAGTTAATGCCAGATATTTAACCTATTGTGAGTGTTTATAGTTTTATCGTGAAATTGTTCCTTTATTATTTTTATCTTTTAGATAGTTTTAGCGTGTGTGTTTTAGGTCAGCTCAACATGTGAGAAAGAGCTCTGAATGACTTCTTGTCAAAGCGCTCTGTAAACTTTAACATTTCGTTTTCCTGGACGATCTTACACTTCGTTTCGTCCATTTCTGAAGCATTCTACATTGTCTGATGTTTATTTATTGCCTCAACTGAACCAGGCCAATGACTGGGGTAATAACGGCCCTGTGCTGTTAACGCGAACACTGAAAGAGGCGTGTGAAAGGCCAAAGCTGGCACCAGGAGATCAGTGTCATGGTGTGCATCTCCTCTCCTGGAAAGCCTTTTACCCAGTGCCGCCTGGGAAGTGGCGATTTCCATTCCTTCCCAGAAAGGGAACAATCAATTTTACAGAGGTGAGTGTTAGATCCCTTTCTTAACCATGTAGTGTCAAGTATAGTGAATTGATTTTTGTTTAGTGTGTGAATGGTTGAGATAATGAGCAATTTGTTGAATAAATAGTTGTGTAGTTTAATTATACAACCCTTTCTCTTTATTGAATATTTTGGAAAATATTGGTAATTAGCAAGCTTATAGATTTTTGGAAACGTTATGATGTAAGGATTCGGGAAACCAATGTTTACACTGACGCAGATACATACAAGGCCGCCATGTTGAAATTTCAAAATGGCTGCTTCCATAATGTCCACGCTTTTTCAGTGTGCCTGCCTGTTAAACTGCATATTGCATTCTCTCTCTCTCTCTCTCTCTCTCTCTCTCTCTCTCTCTATATATATATATATATATAATATATATATATATATATATATATATATATATATATATATATATATATATATATATATATATTTCTCATCTCTCTCTCTCTCTCTCTCTCTCTCTCTCTCTCTCTCTCTCTCTCTCTCTCTCTCTCTCTCTCTCTCTCTCTCTCTCTCTCTGTCTCTCTGTCTCTCTCTCTCTCTCTCTCTCTCTCTCTCTCTCTCTCTCTCTCTCTCTCTCTCTCTCTCTCTCTCTCTCTGGCTCGTTCTCTGTGTTTTTCACTTATGGCTTCTGAATAACAAGTTCGATGACGCATTATTTTCTTTTAATCATGTTTTCGTTTGCGCATTCCTTGAAGCGCTTTTGAATGTCAATGTATTCTCCATCTTGTAGGCTGGCTCTCTATCTTTCTCAGCATCCATCAGCGTTTGATATGATTCTGGCCTTGTATTAAGCACAGGAGTACCTTTGCTTGTGCTGTCCTCTGGACAGGGAATTCTCCTTTTTCATTCTCTTTTCTTGCTGGAATTCAGTTCAGTGCTCATGGTAGAAAGTTCTAGATTTCCTGAAAAGAAATAACCACAGATGGTAACCAGTACAGAAAGCACCATCATTAAGTAAGCAGCCACAAGAACATTAGTCACAGTTCCTGTAAATAACACATTGGTGTAGCTGCCGTACAAGAGTGACAGTCACAGCCGTAACATTACTACCTGGAAAAGAAGTTAAGATTGATATTATAAATCTGCAGATACAAAAACTGAATTTTAATGACCAAGATACATAGAAATGCACTATTTATATAAATATATAAGTGATTAGAAGCTCATATGTCAATATTAATGTAAAATGTAGCAGCCAGTTTGAAAATCCAATATGGCGGCCATTGGCACCGTGCGCAAATGTAAACATTGATTTCTAAATATCTTATGTCATGACCTTTCCAAAAACGCATAGGTCTTTCAAATCCCCAAAAGTTTCCGATGAAAATAATGAACCTAATTATATGGTGTGGCCCAGTCCTGCCCCTGGACCCATTCTGCGCCTCTAATCTACCACTGTAATAATGACATGCAATACTGACAAACACATAAGAAACATTTAAAACAGTCAAGTATCTTTAGTCCGAAACGTTTCGCCTACATAGTAGGCTTCTTCAGGCTAATAAATTTATCACCTCTGTCTCTGACTTAAGAAATCTATTGTATGTAGGAAACATTACGGAATAAAGATGCTTAATTGTTACATATATATCTCGCCTTTCGACTACCTCCCACAGGATGGACATGAGGTGCATAGTAAAGTTATACAGCTAAACTTTATGTAACAGTTAAAGGTTTACTCTTAGTTTTGCCTCATAAATATAGACGATTGTTAATGACTTATAAATGATAACCTTAGGGGTTTCTAGGCTTTAGACGCCTAGGTTAATGGCCAGTTTAATGAATGAATAATGGACAGTTTGAGGAAGTAGTGACGTCCAGGTTCATAAGAAACTGTTTAGTAAATAATTGATATCCACTATGACAGATGTCGTAGTGGATATCAACTATTCATAAATTTATAAAGAAAATTAATTGAACTGACACACTTTGGCGAAAGAATTAAAATTATTTTGGTTAATAAGTAATGAATATTATTTTTAATGAATTGCCCATAGTTTGATTAATTTCTGATGGCCACATTAGTAAGTGAATAACGAATACCCATTATGTTGGTTAATATTGACTATCCCACATTCTCCTCTGGTGTGAATGACATACTTGTATATTTAGACTTTCTGTGGCTAGTTCATATACAGTGTTATGATCGCATTTTCTTACAGGTTTTCCCAGATTCTTACGTAATTCACATGTGGAATAAGATGAGTCACCTCCAGCCAATCTTCAAGGATTCGGGGAGCATCTACGATGTCGCAGCCAAATCCTTCTGTCCAGTCACCAGAGCCGTCGCTACTGCACACTCCAGCCTGTACTGAGTTTACTTCAGCCGGTATGAAGACTGGACCAGCTTGTACTGAACCTGTACCAGCTTGTACCTGTCTGTACTGAGTCTGAACAAATTTTCACCAGCCTCTATGTAGCCTGCACCATCCTATACTCAGCTTATAATAACTTATATTGGGCCTGCACCAGCCTGTACCCAGCTTGCAATGGACTGTCCTAAAACATTAAAGTCTATTAACTACTCTAGGGTCATTAAGGCTGAACGTAATGTTTTTACGTCCAGCCTTAATGACCTCTTTACTTTAATCCTTAACGTGAAAATTAAAGTCTCAGCATATGTACGCCGCGAGAAATACACATCTCTGTATTATTGTGCCCACGAACAAGTGATATTGATCAATAACAACAATGCGACTAGCCAAGGACTCGAGCCCATGCTGCTTTGGCCTGCCTCATGGTGGGTGAAAACTCATGATGCCTTAATCCACTGGACCACACAATCCTTAAGAGTAGTGCACCTAGCGGAACTGAATGCTGTACTCGCTACCCAAGGACATACGTTGGTGTGGATGACTCTAGGCTAATTTCATTCTAGTCCCTGTTTGGTGTACTAGTACAACGAGAAGTATTTTATATTATTCTGCCCACGAACGAGTGGTATTGATCAATAACAACACTGCGACTAGCCAAGGACTCGAACCCATGCTGCTTTGGCCTGCCTCATGGTGGGCGAAAACTCATTACACCAAACAGGGGTGTAATGTCCTTGGGTAGTAAGTACAACACTCAGTTCTGCTGGGTGCGCTATTAAGAACTCCGTGGTCCAGCAGATTAAGGCGTCATGAGTTTTCGCCCACCATGAGGCAGGCCAAAGCAGCATGGGTTCGAGTCCTTGGCTAGTCGCAGTGTTGTTATTGATCTACACCACTCTGCGTATATATTTATATATCTGTATATCCATGTATCACCTTTCTGTGCATATATCTGTGGAAAATTAAATTTACCTGGATGTAACTCATGAGATACATACCAGTAAATGGTAACAAAGGTAATTATTCTTTATCAAGGTTACAGAGACAAGTAGGAATTTTAGGACACTTAGGTCGCAAAAAATGTCCTCCTTCGATATGATAATCTATCTCTCTACAAGTCACTCTGGACCTATATTAATTTCAAATGAAATATACATCACCAGGAATTTTGTTAAAAACATTAATATAAATATGTGGACTGTATATTAAATTTAAAATGTGAATGGATATGCATTGAAGGAGAATTTATAATAATAAGATTCACCAATTAGTCTGGAGATTGCTGTGTGTCATACTCAAAACCCCCCTGCCTAAATTATGAAGAAAATACTGGCCAGAATTTCAACATAAATAGACAACTTAGCTGGGGTTCCAAAGCTGTCCTGTCCATCTGCTTAATGCTCCTGTTATGCAGGACTGCAAATCCAACAATTTCGGCTCCTATTTCGGAAGTTTCAACCACAATTTAACTTCCAAAGCAACGATATTTATGCACATTTCACTCGCGTGCCTTCAGCCCTGTTCAAAACAATGGCATCTCTTCCCCATCGACGCTCACCCATTACTGGTTCTTTATTTATTTACAAAATAATTTTCATTACCTACAATATATGCCATCAATTTACATACAAAATACACTGTATTTTTGGAAAATATACAGTATTTTCTACACTACGGCCGGGCGGAGTTCGTTCCTAAACGACTCAAATTACTCCTTCCTTTAGGAGATGATTCCAGCCAGTTCTGGCTTGAGTGGCTGTTCTCCTAGTAGGTCTTACAACAATTTCATTTTCCTGCATCACTTGGTCAACATTACCTTCAGAATCACTCATGTCACTTTCCCTTAGATTTTCATTTACATTTGATTGAATACCATTTAATTCCAAGGGAATCAATTTATTAATTGTGTGTTAAATTTCCTGGCCACGAAACAATACTTTGACATTCTGGACAACACCTTGTGCATCTGGGTACAATGTCAATACTTTTCCCGAGGCCACAATGTTCGATGTTGTTCAGTATCAATTAACACAATGTCACTTTGTTGAATGTTCTGTCGATTTACTGCCTCTGTCACACCATAAAAGAGTTCATGTAGTGTAAGAAGATATTTCTTATGCCACACATTAGACAAATGATCAATTACTTTATTTAACATTTTTTTGATTTATCACACAACACTGCCACATCATTGTAATCTTCATCACTTTCTTCAGGATTATCTCTATAGACAGGGGCAGCTTCGAATTTCCTTCCACATATTAGGTGAGAAGGTGTTAATACATCTGTATCAGGTGTATCACTCATGTACGAGAGAGGCCTATTATTTATCCGATTCTCCGCCTCCACCAACACCACACAAAATTCCTCCAAATTAATTTTCTTTCTGTGTGGTACTTTACGGAGACACCTCTTCACCGTGCCTATCAGTCTTTCATACAGCCACCCCTATCAAGGGGCTCTAGGAGTAATAAATTTCCAGGTACACCCTCGTTGGGTTAAGAGAGATTAAACGTCGTTACTCTTATTTAATTCTATCAAGTGTTGAGCACCCTCTACAAAATTTATGGCATTATCCGAAATCATCAATCTCGGACAGGATCTCCTAGCTGCAAATTTTCGAAACAGCTGTATAAACTGTTCTGCAGACAAATCCTGAGCCACTTCTAAATGAATTGCCCTAGTAGCAGTACAAGTGAACAAGCATACATACACTTTCAGTGGAACACAATCTGAAGTACCTGTTAAAATGATTGGACCACTATAGTCTACACCTGTTACATCAAATGGTTTCACTAATTGTACACACTCCCTTGGCAATGGTGGAGGACCTGGGTACATATAGAATCTGGCATCCACACGGTGACATATTACACAAGATTTAGTCACCCTTTTCACATTTTGCCATCCTTGTGGAATCCAGAAAGTTTTCCTAATACAATTTAAGGTATCTTGTACCCCACCATGTATTACATTTTTATGGGCATTTAAAACAATTAAATTTGTTGGATGATGAGTTTTGGGCAGTAAGATAGGGTGTTTAGCATAATCACACAATTCAGCATTTTGCAACCTACCTCTGCACCTAATTATGTTGTTCTCTAAATACAGCCCCAATTTCTCTATTATGGAACCTTTCACAATTTTTCTTTCCATCATCATTTTAATCTCATTTTCATAGTTTTCTTCCTGTACCCTCTTTATCCATTATTCAAGAGGATGTGAAAACTTGTATGAGATATTCATCTTGTTTAGAAATTTAAACACCAGCTTAGTTACATTGATTAGTTTGGGTAAAGAAGAATACCTATTTATATCAATGGCTAAGGAAGGACAAACTATTGGAGCAGTGGTCACAGTAATTTCAACAGGAGCAATATACACCTTTTGTACAGGCCAATTAGCTTTATTTACCAACCAGCTCGGTCCTTCAAACCATGATACAGCTTTTACAAATTTAGCATAAGGTAAACCTCGAGACAAGAAATCAGCTGGATTCTCCTCACCAGGTATATGATTAATGTTAACATATGCTGACCCAAACTATTATACTTCTCTTGCATCTGATTAATTTCAGCAACTCTGTTTTGTACATACACAATTTTACTGTTTCCATTACAAATCCATTGTAAGGATACCTCATTATCAGACCAAATTACAGTGTCGCTAATATATATCTCCTGCAACTTATTTCTTATATAATTAGCTAATTTGACACCTATGTAAATAGCTGTTAATTCGAACTGAGGTAAGGTACATGATTTAATTGGAGACACTTTAGCCTTAGACATAACAAGAGAAACAACATTATTACATTGAAGGTAAGCAACTGCTCCATATGCCAATTTTGAAGCATCACAAAAAATGTGGAGTATATTTTTCCCATCTGGATTGGCCACCTAGCATGGGAACTCCAACATTGGAATTTTTTCATAATCACCAATTAATTCATCCCAACTGTTAATGAATTCCTCAGGTTGAGTTTCATCCCAAGCACATTTAAGCTTCCATGCTTCTTGTATTAATAATTTCCCTCTTATAGTAAGGGGTGACACTAAACCTAGTGGATCAAAACATTTGGAAACTTCAGCAAGCAAAACTCTCTTAGTTAATTTACTGGGCATACTGTAATTATTAGGTTTTAACATTAACAAATCTCTCTCAGTATCCCAAGTTAATCCCAATACATTACTACATTTTGGTACTTCATCTCCAGGGTAATCTTTACTTGTTTTGGCCTTTAATTTGGACGAATTACTATTCCATTCCCTCAGCGGTATATTTGCACTTTGCATTACTTTATTAGCCTCTCCATAAGTCATTAACAGTTCCTCTTCAGTTGACGTCACACCCAGGAAATTGTCCACATAAAATTGTTTGCTCATTACTTTACTCAATGGACTTCCCGTACGTTTAAGGTGCGCATTTATTGTCGCTTGAAGTAGGAACAGACTGGATGTAGCACCAAATAATACACTCCTAAAGCAAAAGGCTTTTGAGGGCTAACTGGATCACTAGGATTCTCAGGCCATAAGAAGCGGGTACAATTCCAGTCAACCTCTTGTAAACCCACTCTTAGGAAAGCTTTACTTATGTCAGCCGTAAAGGCATAATTCTTTACCCTGAAATTTAATAAGATATCTCCTAATTTTTCCATCAACGATGGACCTGTCATCAAACAGTCATTTAAACTAGGTACATTTTTGTTACTCCTGGCACTACAATTAAACACAATCCTCAGAGGAGTGGTCTTAGAATCTTTCTTCACTCCGTGATGTGGCAAATAGTGACCATAAACTTTGGCTTGCTCAGGAGGTATCTCTTCTATAAAATTATTAATTAATTGTTCAGTAATTATATCATTATAGGCAGTAAACAATTCTGGTGTCTTTCTCAGTTTGCGGAGCTGAGCCTTTAACTGTCCATATGCCATTCTGAAATTAGTGGGTAATTCTGGATGGTTCAGTCTCCACGGAAGTCATACCCAGTATTGTCCAGAT